TAGAATAAAGTTTATCAGATCATTTGATGTTTTGATTATTTTATTCAATATTTGATTATTGACTAATAAATTGGTACTCATTTACTTCAGGTCAAACTGTCATAAAAAAAGAACTTAATACAATAATAATCTATAAGTAGGTACAAAATACAAAAAATAACAACTCAATATTGGTTTAACAATTGTTTTTTATGTTTATTTGACTAATATAATGTATAATTTTTAAAGTTATAAAATTTTTGCGTTTAATTTAAAAATTAAAAACAACTGTTGAAATTTAATTTAACGGCGGCAAATAAATCAAAGATGATGTCCGAAGATATCTCAATAGTTTCGATTTTCGTTCGAATTACAACGAGTTCCTTCTTGTGTGAATTATGGTCACGATTTTAATATTATCCATGTCCCTGACGTCCACTTGACAGTCAAAATGCTTGGTAGAAACATACCTATAAAAATGGTTTATTTGTTACTTACCTATATTATTCTTAATAATCAGTTACACTTCGCATCTGAAGATGCAAATATCGTTGGGGAAAAGTACTTTTGTTTTGGTGTTATTTTATATATCGATGGTTATTTGACAAAACATCGTAAGCGACAATTTTGTTGAATTACTTTTTATTTTATCAAAGTGTCGGTTACGATAAGCTGCACATGTATGTTAACATGCATGTTAACAAAATAGTTATCCCAATTTTGAAATCTTATATTGGTCAGTTTGAATATTTTTATTATTGTAAGCGCCTCTTCTTTTTAATTTGTTACCGATTTATAACGTAAGCGCCTATATGTTACCGACAAATAATCTTAAGCAACTCCGAGACATGGCGTTTGCGATTTAAGAATGTGTCGCTTACGATAATATTGTGCTCCCGCCTTGATCTATCCCGCTCTAAACAGTTTATTCGTGGTGATTGCTACCAAGTTTTAAAATAATATTTTATTTGATCAAAAGCTTATGAATACTTTTTTTTTCATTTTTAATAGTTGTCCTAATTGTAATTGTTCTTACCTAGTGTGGTTCGTTAAAAGTGTTTTTTTAGTAATTGTATGTTGTTCTAGCATCAAATAATTTGACTCAAATTTATAACGGTTAGATCATGGTACCATGGGTTAGATCATGGAGCCTACACAAGGAGTCCGAACATCATGTAAACAAGAATCCTAAGATAAGAGGGCGCTGGTGTTCTGTTTATTCAGAAAAAACTGTTTAATTTGTACCGAAACGCTACCAAAAGAGAAGATGTCAGCATCGACAATCAGCATCGACAATCAGCGCCGCTGGTGGATGAAAAAAATAAACTTAATTTGTGCAATTTCCCCTATTAAGTTCGGGTTCCTTGTGTAGGCTCCATGGGTTAGATACTACTTTGTGAATAAAAATCGTTCGTTTTTTTCTATAGCTAATGTAGAATTTCATTTTCAAACATTGTTTGGCAAAATATCGTTGGTGATATTTTATAAATTAATTTTTTTTGTAATTTTTTTTATTTAATAATAAAAGTAAAAAAATAAATATCGCTAGCGATGTTTTGACAAAAGTAATCATCAAATATAAATCACTCAAAGTAACGTAAATGTAACTTAAGCGACAAGACTAAGTTAACATTTTCCTAAAGGTGTTCTTATAAAATATCGTATGCCACAAAATTTAATGAAAATTTTAGATTGGATTCGATCTTACTTATTTGAATTCTACATTAATAAAATAATGCCTCACCAGTTTTCAGATAAATAACTTAAAAAATAAAGCTCCCAGATAAAAAAATCTCTCCTGTAAAATTTAGGTTTTGTCGCTTACGATGTTTTGTCAAATAACCATCGATATTTGTTACCATAATGTCATGTGGCAATAGCGTATTGCAATTTTAATTCTATTTGTCATCCCTAAGGGACACCCACAGACAGGTCTGTGGGCCCACAGACCTGTCCGGGACACCAAATTTAGTTTTAATCCCGGCGCATTCGCCATTTTTGAAAGTATTTAAAAGCTTGGGCAGAAATGGGTTGGGATTCCCACGTTTGGGAATGAGACAAGACTGGAACCGGACAAACAAAGAACCAATTATACATAGATAAAAAAACTTGCACTTGATTACGATTATTGCGCCCCTAGCTTAATACACAAAATTTGTAAGGTAAGGTGGGGTAATTGCGATATGTTTTTGTACTAGTTGGCATTGTCTCTTGAATTAAAAGTAAGGAGTGATAAAACTAAACCAAACCCAAAGCTTATTATATAGCCCAACTATTCAAGAATTATATTCTAAAGTATAAAACGTTAATAACTAACGGCTAAAAAATTACATCTTTTTTTTAAACGTTCCTAACATATTGCATTTGCCCCGAAAAATGGGGCAAATGTGTTAGCGGCTGATTACATTACACTATTAATGTATTTGTATGGGTATGGGGCTAATGTAAAAGAGGAAAAAAATAGGATTATTTTGGTGTAAAATCGTGTAAATCCGTTAATAATCATAAGGTGTGCAAACTTTTTTTTATTTTTAATTTAAGAATTAACAGACTACGCGGTTAATAGAAAAAGGAAATAACGATTTATTATTATGTACTTAAGTAACCAAGTGGTACTGCGCAGTAGTTGTCGGGATTTCTCTACTTAGATATGCAACCCAAGACAACAGCGTGCGTTTTTATTCATTTGCTTTTATTTACTACTTCAAGTAAGAATTTTATCGCAAGATGTTACATTTACCCAGTGATGTAATGTATCGAGATACATGTATCTAGATACTGGATCTAGATACATTTTATGTACCTAGATACGTATCGAGATACTTAAAAAAATCAGGATCTACTTTAGTATCTAGATCCTTTTGAAAGTATCTAGATCCTTAGATACAAGATACATTTTATTTTACCCAACTCCATAACGTGTGGGCCATATGGAAAATGAACAATACAAATAATAAAAAGATATTTTATTTCTTTTTCCCTTCAACCCACTTTGGAGTGCAAAGTGCATAAAGTAACTCTTAGGCACTAGTGAGTAAAGTTAAACAAAAGCGCTGTAGGTTACCTATAGTTGGCTTTGAAGGCATTTTTCTTCGTTCTGATAATTTTGAATTTGTACTACAAATTTTGTAGTAAGCTTTCATATGGCGCGTAAATATAAAATTTATTTCCGTTTTTCATGGATATTTCGTCAATTTTATCAAAACAGTTTTATTTTATAGTTAACACGCTTGTTTATAAGGTCTAAAAAATTTTTTTTTTCATTTAATTTTTAAGTTTTTTTAACATAGTATCTGGAAGTAACTTAGATACTTTTTGAATGTATCTGTACCCAGATAGTTTTGGGAAAATGTATCGGTATCTGTACCCAGATACATCTACCAGAGAGTATCTGTATCGGTACCTAGATACTGAAAAAAATGTATCGGTTACATCACTGCATTTACCCCAATCTTACAATTACCCCACCTTACCTTACCGAACCTTGAATAATAGATTAAAAAAACATTAAACACAAACAAAAATTTTGTCGTTTCAAAAAATAGCTGTCAGCAGTTATCGAATTTTTTAAAGACTAGGATGTAAAAAACTTTACCTTATTTGTCTAAATTATTTTTACAGCCCAGGAGATAATCAAATACTTTTTTGTATTTTTAGTACGAGATAGAACAGACCTTGTTGTGTGGATTGTTTGTATAGGTACTATTTTAAATACTTAAAATTGCATTTTAGCGGGAAACAATTTAAAAAACAGGAAAAACAAAAAATAAAAAAGTATTGTTTCCGCCCGGGATCGAACCGGGGACCTTCCGCGTGTTAGGCGGATGTGATAACCACTACACCACGGAAACAAGATACTTAATTTAGTCGTCCACCTAACTGATGCCCGTATCAGATGAAAGTATGCAACTAACTATGCAATGCATAGTATGCATACCTTCAACATCCACACGATTTTTGACCTTAAGAACCACGCTGTCTTTTGAACCAAACCAAAATGCAATTTTCGAACTTATAAACCAATTTTATGATGCGGACAAAGCAAAGCTTTAAAGCGAAGCGAAACATTGGACGTTATAGGGCTGGTGGATTTTGGGCACACCCATATCTCAGTTATTAGATATGGGACCCACATCAAATTTATATGAGTTTATAATGACATTATATAGACAAGTTCTGCGCAAGCTGAATTTGAATTTGAAGTTTTCGAAAAAAAGTTAGTTTTTAAGTGTGCCCCCCAGCCTCCTGCCCCTCCAAATTAAGATAATTCAAATTTAAGTGGTACAATATTTAACACACACACTTAAAAACTAACTTTTTTTCGCAAACTTTAATTTACTTGTCTATATAATGTCATTATAAACTCATATAAATTTGATGTGGGTCCCATGTCTAAAGTCGGATTTATAGTTCTAAAACGTAGCTGTAGCCGTTGCAGTTGCAGTTGCAGTTGCAGTAAGTAAGTAGCTAATTTTTACAATTTATAGTTCAGCGCGTAGCGGTTGCAGTAGTGGCCGCGTAGTGACATTTGTTCTGTTTACAAACATTTCAAGTATTTTGTATCGGTGATTTTCGCTTTGTTTATTTGGTTTAGTTTATCTACTTATAAACATAGTTTAGTGATATTTGTTCTGTTTACAAAGATTTCAAGTATTTTGTATCGGTGATTTACGCTCCGTTTATTTTGTTTATTTGGTTTAGTTTACTTATAAACATGGTTTGGGAGCCTTGTTTTTGCAATATCTGCAATTTGATTGGCTGTAGTAGTCGTTGCCGCAAGAAAAGATAAAAGTTGGTCATCTCTTACGACAACTTACGACAACGACCTTGGATGCTACTGCAAAGATCCTCCAGCCAATCACAGACTGTTTTGCCCCTACTGCAACTGCAACTGCAACGACTACGGCTACGTTTTAGAACTATAAATCCGGCTTAATAACTGCAATATGGGTGTGCCACCAGCCGCCGCCTACGTCTAGGTGTGTAAAAGGTAAGTAAAAGACAGGTAAGTAAAAGATTGAGTGCATTCTTAATCAACGGTAAAAGTATACCTAATAAAAACTAAATAAACCATAGATGTTTTATTAGAAGTATCGCAGTTTTTTAAGTCTCTTAAGCAGTCGATATACAGGCTTATTAATTAGCTCGGGTACATCATTTCCCCATATAAAATCGGCATGATGAAAATGTTCGTAAGCCACCACATGATAGTAGACTACATTTGGTAGTTGGCTTAGTAAACGATCCCTTGTCTAAAATAAAATAAGTTGTTAAAGATATCCGAGGTGTCCCACGGTCACCAACAAACTACAAATTTCTTGAGAAATTACAAAATATTCAAAATTTGTAATTTGGAAAATATATCTTAAAATCCTGGTCTATGAAATCAATTTTTTATACTTAAAAATTTATTGACAACAAACTTCACAAAAATTACGTCGCGATACGCCTATGTAGTTACATTTTGGAATCATACCACAATGCAATTTGGCTAGGTGTTATTTAGGTACAAACTCTAATTTTTAAATTTGTTAAACAATTTCTTATGGGGCGCCATGTGTTCCATAATTATTTCGTACGATATATAAAATATTTTGCAGGAAAAACTATATATAATTAAAATTTACTACAATTTTGCATATATATTAAAAATAAAAGTTTTATATATATATATTGAATTTGGCACCATGCGAAGTTCGATATAAAACTTTTTTCGTTTAAAAAGTCCCCGAGCGATGGCGCTACCTTTCTTTATGATCACATACTTCCATGTATGTGTTTATGATTTGTATAGTGTGTTGCATATTTATGAACGTATTCGAATTTAAAAAAACATCTTTCTCTAAAAGAATAATTACTTAAAATACCTACCTTTTATTAATAATATCGATGAACAGTATAATTACAGCTGTATAAATTACAAACCAACCGCCGTTATCTAAAAAAAACGTAAGCGAAAGATGTTTTTTTGAAATTCGAATACGTTCATAAAGTATATGCAACACACTATACAAATCATAAATAAAGGTAGCGCCATCGCTCGGGGACTTTTTAAACGAAAAAAGTTTTATATCGAACTTCGCATGGTGCCAAATTCAATATATATAAAACTTTTATTTTTAATATATATGCAAAATTGTAGTAAATTTTACTTATATATAGTTTTTCCTGCAAAATATTTTATATATCGTACGAAATAATTATGGAACACATGGCGCTCCATAATTTCTTATGAAATTCGTAGTTAAAATATTTGTCCGTGACCATGCGACCCTGTATTTAAGTAATAAGAATGTCTACTTCGTCTGTCGTTTCAAAATCTCCTCTTCCTTGAAAAATAGCAACTGGTGCTAGGCATTTCGTCAAATCATAATTTGGCGGTTCTGTTTGGCCGTAACGTTTTAGATTTCCGGTAGTTCCGTGGTCGTATTGTCTGAATTCACCTGAAAAGTATTTTAATTGTTATAAAATATACATTTTCTAAAAGAAAATAAGTTACCTGAATCTATCATCTGAAAATAATGTAACATTTGTTTTATAGACGCACCTGCAGGAGAATCCCTGAATATAATCGGTGTAAAGGACTAAAAAATACATTTGTAATGCTTTTAGAGAATTCAAAGTTTGTTAAAATTTTCTCAATATGGTCAAATTTATAAATGAAAAAAATAAAACATACTGCTTGCCACTGCCCACTTTTTAATTGAAAAACATAAAATATCTAAACCAGCAAACTTTATCTGAGTAAAATTTTTAAAAGTTAATCAATACGCTATTAAAGTATTACCTTGAAAAAAAGACATGTACTATGTAGTAATTACTAATATTAATATTAAAACCTTCCACCTATCTGCTTCGACAGCGATTTTTACCAAACTTGGAACAGTTATACAGGGTGTTATGTAATTAATGTTATATATTAAAATGGGTTGTTCCTTAGGGTCCATAAAGAAGCACCTGAAACTTTTTTTTTCTAAATTCCAAAGTCTAAAAATAATTTATAATAACCTTTATCCTACCAAAAAGTACGCCACTGATCGACTAGGAACTTTAGGTTAATCTGGTGGATTTATTATGTTATGGTTGATAACAGTGTTTCCAAAATCTCTCAAAAAAGTTGACAAACATTGTTTAAATTTAGCTTAATTACAAAAATGACAAAATTAACAATGCAAATTGTCAATTTGGCGTTTTTATTAATTGTTGGTTATTTCATTTTTGTACTGAAGGTAAATTCAAACAAAATCTGCCAACTTTATGACAGAATCTAGTGCATTTCTTTTAAATTTTAGGTTATGTTTTCAAATTGTAAATATCTTAACTAAGGGAAGTGCTTTTGGATTTATTTACACAAATTAAATGTTTAAAGTTTAACCTGTGAACTGGTCCCAATTTCATCTGAGTAAACAGAGAAAAAAACTGATGAAAAAATTAATTTTGTGGTTATGGATTTCAAATTTCAAAGGTACTAAATTTTCTAATCATTGCTTAAGCTAATAGCTGGATCAGTAAATAAATACAGAAGGGTATTAGAGCTTTAAGGGCATAAAACTTTTGTATTTATTGAGTTTTTATTTATTTTTTGCAAGAAAAATTTTTAGTAACAATTTTTTACATCTGGCAACGCATAGCTACTTTGTTGGTTGGTATCTATGTACTCACAAAATACAGGTGTGCAGAGATAAACAAGTGTGTAACCAGTGGCGTATCACAAAAAATATAAAAAACTTCTAATGCATATTTTTTCTTTATCTTTGGAAAAATGTTTTTTTTTAATATTTTTCCTTTATTCCTTATGTCAAAAGGTATTCAGTATTTTAATATATAACATTAATTACATAACACCCTGTATATACGAGGTTTGCAATGGTTTCGTTATTATATTACCTTATATCTTCCACAAATGAGGAGCATCCGTGCAAAACCGGCTATATCCACTTTAATAAAATGTTGGGAAAATGGCAAAAACTCTCGGTTTCCTGGCCTTTACAGATAAAAGAAAAAGCAAACTTGAGTTTTGTGGGCTTTGTGGTACTTGATTTATAAGACATACTTTCGTTTTTAAAAACTTTATATTAAGGCCAAAATTTCAAAAAATGTTTTGTATATAGCCGGTTTTGCTCGAAAACCGAATAAAAAACGAATAAAATGTGAAAAAAAAAACTTTATTATTCAAAAATATTAACAAAATAAATTTAGTGCAAACATGAAAAAACAGAACAAATTTTAGTAGTAGTATCGACATATCCAAGCCACATATTATTATTTATAGCCGGGTTTGCTATAAAAACGTGGATTTGGCCGGTTTTGCTCCCAAATCTACCTTTTAAATGTGATTTTAACATGGATATAGTCGGATTTAAACAGAATTATCTTGGTTGTCGATAGAAATGAACCCAAAGATGCGAAATCAAAAAACAAAACAAAAATTGAATAAAATGGATTTAGCCGGTTTTGCACGGATGCTCCTCAAATATTAACCAATTTAAAAAAAACAATATTGATTTTTAATCAAATTTTTATGTAAAGGGTTTTTCAATAGAGATTATATATTTTTAAATCGAGAGTGTGGCCGTATTGAAATGTCAAAATCTTCTGTCACATAAATATCCTTAAAAATTTGTATAGTTTTACAATTTGATCTTTTAACTTTGGAATTTTGTAATTCATGTAAAAATCAGTACGCGGAAAAAAAAACGATAAATATTCTTATGGGATATCCAAATGCTCTACAAAAAAGTCTTTTATCATTTTTGGCTAAATTCACTCCATCAAAAGTTATTCAAGGTTAAATTTGTCAAAACCAAATTTTAACCTTGAATTACTTTTGATTGAGTGAATTTAGCCAAAAATGTTGGGAGGCTTTTTTTGTAAGGCATTTGATTTCCCATAAGAATATTTATCGGTTTTTTATGGGTACTGATTTATACATGAATTACAAAATTCCAATTTAAAAGATCAAAATGTAAAACTATATCAATTTTTAAGGCATGATTTTAAGGAAACGGTTCATCTGACGTAAAATTTCACTTTAACTTTTTTTGTGGAGCATTTAATTTTCTTAAAAAAAAAATATTTCTAAGTCAATTTTGTTAAACTCAATGGTTTGGGAGTTCTGAGACAAAAACTTGCTGAGGAAAAAAAAAATTGCGATGATAGACCTCTTAATATTAATATTATCTACGCCAGTGAGATAAGAACTTCTTATCCCACTCATTTTCAGTGAGATAAGAAGTTCATTAACGCACGCGTTTTTCTCTGCTTTTAACCAATCAAATAAAAAAGTCAAAATGTCAAAATGTCAAAATAACCCTAAATTAAGTTTTAGACAAAAATAATTATCGTTTATTTTTTCATTTAGAGGCGTAGATAAAAATTTGTACAATATACGTGTGATAACGCTTTATTAACGCAATTAATTTCGCATGCGTACGTTAATAAAGCTCTTATCCCACTTATATCGTAAATAACTATTATTTAACAATTTTCTGGGGGCCCCCATATGATTGGGGCCCCCGGGCATCGCACCGAACTGCCCGGTCATATGTCCGCCCTAGTAATAAAAAAATGAATACAAAAATTTAAAATACCGAAGCTCTTCAAAGTTCAAAGTACAAAATATTTTAAATTGACTTTAAATATTTTAAAAAGTTAAGGGTTCGATTGGTGGTAGTGGCCCCTTGGGGCAAACGCTCAAGGACGCCCCAATCAGCAAATGCCAGTATGCTGACCTGCTAAATCCGCCACTGCTGCTTTCATCACAAGACAACATAATTGCTTGGAAGATTGGTTAAAAACGAATACAATGAACTGACTAAAATAAATTATTACATTATTAAAATTTAGATTTTTGATATCATCGGATCCTAGTAAAGCTAGCGCTTTTCCACACACATCTGCAGAAGCTGGTGTTAAACCACAAAACTGTTTTATTGCGTCCAACATTTCTTCATTATCTGGTATTATGTAGTGAATGTTTAGAATCCTTAAAATCCCCTACAAACAATTTTTTAATTGAAAACAAATTAAATATTTTAAAACAAATATATTATACTTCAATAATTCTATGATATTTTCCCAAAAAATCCAACATTGGAACATGAAGATTCTTTAAATAAACTGCCACCCCAAACTGAATTCCGACAATGATTTTATTGTTGTATTCAGGTCTTTCAGATGTAAACACGAAATACGTTGTGGTTCCTTGCGAGTGTCCAATGTAGATAAACTTTTCTTTTTTGGTTACATTTAACAAATGATCTACGTTAGCTGGTATATCATACACCCCAACCTCATGCCAGCTAAAAATTATTTAAATTTAATTTCAAACATTTCGATGTAAACATACAATTTTTAAGTGAGTGCCAAAGAAGTACTCTACAACTTTTGTTGTCCACACATTAAATTAAAATATCTATTATTTTTTCAATTTTACAATCAAAATATTTATCCCCATAGGTAGGTCAAACATAGTTATATATACAAAAGTTAAACACTTTAAGATAGCGGCTGATTTTGAGGAAGTGTTCTGTTGGCACCCACTCACAATATTATTATGACTATTATTTACTCAAAGTCCCAATATTTAGTGTCCGTTGCAGGATTCAATGTTTTGTGTCTCCTAGAATGAGTTGTGCCTCTTTGGTTCATAAGCCAAATATCGTATCCTTTGTCGGCTAAATAATAAGCAATTGCAGAATCATTTCCTAAGATGAGAAAATTTTCTGCAGTACCTCCAGTTCCTGGTACAAACAATATAGGGGTGCCGATTTTTGTCGAGTTTTTCCCGTGAGGTATTCTGTAAGTTGTTAGCAAATAACCGTCCTCCGTTTCTATATCGTGAACTTCAAAAGGGTATCCATATTTAGTCAAAACTTGCTCCTGTTACAAAATAAAATAAAATTCCGCGGACTTACGTAACGGTCAAATGAAACATGAAAATTTGCATTTTTCGCTGAAAGTTTAAAATCATCTTAAAACATCATACCTTCCATCTGGGTTAAATTAAAAATTAACCATGAAAATATATAAAGTGCAACACAAATATTAAATCAAATATCTGACATCCTTGCAAAAAAATATTACCTAAAATTTTTGGTTCCTAGACTATTATTGCAGCATTAGTTTTTAGCGATAATAAATAGTTAACTGCAAAAAACTTTATTTTTGCTTTGTGATTATTTTTGTTACATGAGGTTGTCTATTTTGGATTTCAATTCCAAGCTTTAAATTTTAAAAAGAAATTGTTGTATTTGAGATCAATATTTACAAAAAATTTCAAAATTTACACTAAAATTTATTTTTTAACCCTTTTAGTGTATCAAAAATTACTAATAATTACAAAAACAATTAGACGAAAGGGAGAAGACGAATTCGTTCAAACATAAGTAATTAGGCAATAAATTATTTTTTCTTACACTCAATGAGATATTGAGACATTATACGCTCGAAAGTAAGCCATTGTTACCTACTAGTTGAATAATGAAAAAATATGTTCACTTGTTATGAAAAAGAAAAAAAGAAAATTTTTCACTTCACATAAAACTGAAAAAATAGTTATTTATGTCATTAGGTTAAGAAGTAAGGCTTTTTGTGCTAAGCTCAAGGTTTGAAGGCCGACGCGTAGCGGAGGCCTACAATTGAGCGAAGCACAAAAAGGCACTTCTTGGCCGAATGGCATACAACATTTTATCTTCAAAGCACTTTATATAGGTCAATTTAATTCAACATCAAAGCGACATAACCTCACTTTTTTAGAATCTCATTTATTTATTAGCTAAAGATTACATTAAATGTACAATAATTATTATTGCTTTTAGAAGCAGTAATAGTTTGACAATACCTAGCAACATGATTTAAGTAGAAATGGATTTTTGCTCTTACATTGAATTCAATTAATTGTTTAATAAATATGTAGGTATCTAATTTCAATTTGTTTGGATTTTTATTTAAAAAATAGGTAGTTTGGAATGTTTAAGCTTTGTTTAACATTTAATTTCACTGAAAATTTAAAGCAAATTAAAACTTAAAGATAATTTAAATCGTAGAAAAAGAATCGTGCGTTTTCTTGATTGCCTAACCTCACTTTTTGTTTTATTATTCATATTTAATTTTACAATAATTTAATGAAAAATATTAAACATTAACAGTAAAACAAACAAATTAGTGCTTATTATAAATAAATTAAACCAGTTTAGTACGTTAATTTCTTAGAAAAGGATTAATTTGTCAAAACAATACCCCTAGCGAGAAAAAATCGAACTAATTACTTGCCTCATCAAATTTTTTATCGGCCTAGGCCATAACAACCCAAGCAACACACAAAGTAGCTGGTACGTTCCTGGGCCTACAAAAGCGACCATTAAATAGACCGCCACTATCGGCGGCTACGTTGCCGCTACGTAACGGCCACGTAGCTTCTACTAAAATGGGGAAGAATTAAGGGTAACTGGGTAGTATAACGGGTGGTCCCAGGGACTAAAGTTGCCACTATATTTCGTTACTATAAAGTGAAAAGGTAGTAGCAACCACTATCCTGCTTCGTATCGGCCTAGTAACCCCTACGTGGCCGCCTGGTAACTGCCACTAAACGTTCCTCTAGCGACCTCTACTTTGTAAAAAAGTTTTCAAAGAAATAATAATATGACAGGACAGTCGCGAAGTCATGGCCATGTTAAACTTAATAATGGCGTGTTAATGACAAAAATGATGATGTTTAATCGCGTATTTTGGGTACTTCCAGGGTTAATATTAGAACGCAACTCACTATACTGACAAATATAACCGGTTTAGATGGAAATATTTTAATGCGCCCTCAAATTAACTTAGTTTAGTAGATATTTACGAAGAAAAAATAATATCAAAAATATAAAAAATAATATTTCATAATATACAAAAGTGTATTCGAGTTCTAGTTAAAAAAATAAATGCTTAAGGAATTATAAACATTAGGAAAATGAAGAAAAATAGAAAATATACTAACAACAAAATTCCATTAAAAAATCGTGACCGTAAAAATATGGCTGACTTACACTTCGCTACGATAAAGTTAGGCCCTTCCCTATAAAGTAGCAGGGACTACCCATTTTTTACTTTAAAGGATCTGCTACTTTCAGTGACTAAGTTGTCACTACCCAAAAGTAACTGTGTAGTACCGGTTACTACTTCGGAACTTTTTTATTTTTAAATATTTTTTAAATTTCTACACTATGGTAACTACTGGAACTAAAAAGTTATTTTAAACACCCAAAAAGTCGGACGATCAGGCATTTTCTGACAATATAGTTACATATGTTACTATAAAGTTCCGTCTACCACTGTAGGCAGGGCCGGCAGCTTTTCATTTTGACGTGTGGTGCTCATCTACAGTTGGTTGGTAGCAGTGGTTAATGGATGGGGGGTGTGGGTGTTTCCTTGGGGGTTGCGGGAAGGAGAACAAAATAAAATTGGAATAGTTTTTTAGTCAATTAATTTATCAAACTCAGTCACATTTTATATACAGGGAAAGTTTTTTAACTTTGAAATATCTCGCGTAATAAGCACACTACTAATTTTAGCACTAATATATTCCCCCGGAATGATTAAATTTAGTTTAAATAGTTTTTTCGACAGTGCTTATTACTCCAGATATTTTAAAGTTTCAAGTTAAAAAACTCACCCTTTAATGGAATCGAATGGTTTAGGTATATTACTGCCACATTGGACGTTTTTAGGGTTGGCATCTGCCACTTCTTGGATTAAGGGTTACCAGCATCAAAAATACGGGTTTAAAATAATCGTTCTATAGATTTTTTTAGTTACTCTAAGATTCGAACTATACATTTGTTGATAAAAAGTCGGGTATCTATCCACTAACACAATTGGTGGTAGCAAACACGAACTCAGAGATAATAAACAAACCGCACGAACTGTAAATAATAATATAAATCAAAGTTTGGTCGGTTACCGACGCGTCGGTATGGTAGAAATACCCTAAATACACGTCGCGACGTGTCGGTATACTTATAATATATATATACAATAGGGTGTGCCAAAAAAACTCGATATTTCTTTTTTCTTGCTCTCCACCCAAAATATCGTAGAATATGTCAGAACAAATATTCTGTTAAAATCGGAGCTCATAATTTCAATTTTAAGAGGTCCCTCATCGAATCTGAAGTTTTGCCGCTTAAATAACACAGAAAACTGACTTTTTTACCTTATTTATTCTTGCAACCTAGGAAGAAATTTTTTTTTCATAAAATCCATGACCAAATCTTACAAAGCATTAAATTTGGACAAAAAAATCTTATTAAGCCGAATTTCTATTTTCATTATTTGATTTTTTACAGAGCTTTAAATTTAAAATTTTACGTTTTTTGCCTTTTTCAGCTAAACTATTGAAGTTAGACGAAAAAGTCAAATGGCAATTTTTTAGCTTGTCTGATGGACCACAAAAAAGTTTTAAGCGAATTTTTTGTATCGTCAATATTCTAAAAGTTACAGGCGTATAAATTCATCATTTTTGTATTATTAACTTTAAATTTAAAGCTCTGTAAAAAATCAAATAATGAAAATAGAAATTCGGCTTAATAAGATTTTTTTGTCCAAATTTAATGCTTTGTAAGAATTAGTCATGGATTTTATAAAAAAAAAACTTCTTCCTAGGTTGCAAGAATAAATAAGGTAAAAAAGTCAGTTTTCTGTGTTATTTAAGCGGCAAAACTTCAGATTCGATGAGGGACCTCTTAAAATTTAAATTATGGGCTCCGCTTTTAACAGAATATTTGTTCGGACATATTCTACGATATTTTGGGTGGAGAGCAAGAAAAAAAAAATATCGAGTTTTTTGGCACACCCTAATATACAACCTTGTTATATTAAGGTAACGATATGTTATTTCTACTATACCAAGACATGATACCAAGATGCATACACTTATACATACTATACCGACCGACTTTTATACTTTAATTAATCAGCTTCAACCGTAAATTTGTAAAAGGCGTTGGTGTGTATCCCAGGCTAGCAGGATAAAAAATTTAGAGACCGCAAAAGAAATGCAATTTTTCTGCTGAAGATACGTGTGGTGCTGAGCAACACCATTTTACTATACGTGTGGTGCTTAAGCCCGCGAGTACCGCTATTGTCGCCGGCCCTGACTGTAGGTAATGCTGGAATCCTAACCTAGGTTGAGCTCAAAAGTCAAATGTATTTTGTTAAGACTACAATTTGATTGTTGCACGTTTTGGCTCTGGTTAAAATTGTTTTTGGATTCGTGCTACCTACCTATGATTATATCTTCAACCATATCTATTGGCAGTTTTATTAATGGAGATTCTTCTTTGTGATGATCTTCATCTAGAACCTTTTTGGCTGGCGACCCACAATTCAAAAATATTAGAAGCTCGCGACCCGATAAAAAATAAAATCATCAATTTTCTACATTTTCTTTATTTAAAGTAAGGATGCAGTGATTACAGCGCGCTTTTTCAAAAAGTCCCGCAAGTCCTGCGACCCATCTCGATATGGCCCGCGACCCAAATTTGGGTCGCGACCCGAGGTTAAGAAACGATGATCTAGAGCCCTACGAAAACTTTCATGCGTTCTTAAAGGGCAATCAACTTTTGAGAAAATCATAATACCTATATCATAATATATTATTATGCCTTCCATCTTTATCATATTCTCCAGTAACGGTGCATTTTATACAACCATGCTTCGCATTAAAGCCTACAGTTCCTACAATAATCGCTAGAATTATAAAATTAAGCAATTAGGATGCAGTGTAGATCATAATGTTCTCAGAATTAAATTTTGTTGAAATTTTTTCCAACGGAATATCTCTCACATGCATACTACCTATATACTATAAAACTTAAAATTAGTTTGAGATAGGAATT